CTAGTAAGTCCTTAAAAACTCTCCATCTAATTCAGAATGCAGCGACACATGTACTAACAGGAACTAAGAAATGAGCTCATATTTCTCCTGTTTTAGCTTCTCTGCACTGGCTCCCTGTAAAATCCAGAATTGAATTTAAAATCCTACTGTTAACTTATAAAGCTCTAAATGGTCAAGCTCCGTCATATCTTAGAGAGCTCATAGTGCCATATTATCCCACCAGAACACTGTGCTCTGAGAATGCAGGGTTACTCGTGGTCCCTAAAGTCTCCAAAAGTAGATCAGGAGCCAGAGCCTTCAGCTATCAGGCTCCTAAACTGTGGAATCATCTTCCTGTTAAGGTCCAGGAGGCAGACACCGTCTCCACATTTAAGACTAGACTTAAGACTTTCCTCTTTGATAAAGCTTATAGTTAGGGCCGGCTCAGGCTTGGCTTGTACCAGCCCCTAGTTAGGCTGACTTAGGCCTAGTCTGCCGGGGGACCCCCTATAATACACTGGGCACCTTCTCTCTCTCTCTCTCTCTCGTGTCCTGTTACTGCATCTTGCTAACTTGGACATACTGCATGTCACTAACTCGGCTTCTTCTCCGGAGCCTTTGTGCTCCACTGTCACTCAGGTTAACTTATATTGCAGCGGTGCCTGGGTAGTGTGACGTGTGTGGTTGTGCTGCTGCCGTGGTCCTGCCAGATGCCTCCTACTGTTATTATACACATATGATTATTGTCACATATGTACACTATCAGATATTAATATATACTTTCAACATACTGTACCACAACAGCCAGAATTATAATTATATTGTTATTACTTTCATTAATGCTGTTGTAAGCTACTGCCATTACCGTCTGTCCTGCATCTCTCTCTGTCTCTCTTTCTGTCTCATTGTATCATACGGATTACTGTTAATTTATTATGCTGATCTGTTCTGTACGACATCTATTGCACGTCTGTCCATCCTGGAAGAGGGATCCCTTCTCAGTTGCTCTTCCTGAGGTTTCTACCTTTCCCCAACAGTCAGAATCCATGCTTCTGTCACTGACAGCTGTTTAGAAACACTGAAATAAGACCGTAGCATACAATTCTGGACCCTGCATGAGCAGTCTCAGAGGGCCCACCATCCTTCCTCTCTATCCATGTCTCTCACACGCACCGTTTAAATTTTACAGTCGTTCTGCTCTTTTCCCTTTTTTCTTTATTTCGTTTCTTTTTTTGGGAAAGACATGAGCAGCATAAGCAGTCACTCACTCGGCTCTGGTTGAGTTTATCGACAAATCCTAGACCAGTTTGTGCCTTTAAAGACCCATTCTCATCTGGCCAAACAGCACCCTCGGCTACACAACGTTTTATATCCCACTCAGCACTACAGTTTTCTTTCTCCTGTAGATTTGTGCCTCAACTGTGATGTTATTTTGGGTACCTGACATCAACATCTGCTGCATATCTCACTGTAATTTGTGCAACAGATAAGTCTAGAATACTGCATTGTTTGCACATAAAGCCTGTACCTGTATTCAAATTCAATATTAAATTGTCTTGCACTGTTACATTTTGTGTATGTTTCTACCCTGTGATCCTGAAATCAGGGTAACACTTTACAATAAGGATGAAGGAAATAATGGTCAGTTCTTGAGTAATTCCCAATCAGATGTCACTGAGTAGCTAATCATTGTGAACCAATCATCAGTCAATGATTAGTTAACTGAGAAACAACTGAGAGAACCAATGAGGAACTAACTATGAGATAATGGACAGTTCTTGAGTAACTTCCAATCAGATGTCACAATCATCAGTCAATGATTAGTTAAGCTGCCTATTGGCCACATTAGCAGTGTGCAGTTTAGCTGCACATCTGGGAATGACATGGCTGAAAATTGAAGATCTCCTTTTTCCCATGGAAGACATAGCTCGTTGGTCTAGGGGTATGATTCTCGCTTAGGGTGCGAGAGGTCCTGGGTTCAAATCCCAGACGAGCCCTGGCTCTTGAACCAAGTGGGTACAAGGTCACACAGGCCAGGTTACATGTTACACCCAGTGACAGCAAATAACTTCTGTTTGCATCAATTGTGCAAACTCCAAAGTCATCAGAATTTCCTTCAGTGAATCAGAGTTATATTGTTATTTAACATACTAGAAAACAACAAAGACAACAATAAAATTAAATATAATAACAGTTAAAACTTCTGTTTTTTTTTTATAAAAAGGTTTGTTGATCAAGAGGTATGACATCTGGATGGGATTAAAACCCCAGATGAGCCCTGCTTCCAGCCAATGCAGTTGAAAGTCAAAAGAGCCAGGACATACATAACACAAGTCAGTTACAGCATACTGAGGCTGTACGCTTCAACAGTTCTAAGCTTCAATCATAACACTGACACTAGAATTCCAAATCAACATTTGAATGCTGCACAGCTGCTTTTTATTCTTGAATGAAGTTTCCTTTCTTGTCCTGTCAAGTTTATCACATGCAGTTTTTAATTTTCTTGCTCAAATGTAAATCTCATAATATTTGCAGCAGACACATCATTGTGAGCACTGAAGCACTCTGATCCTTAACATAGAGCAACACATTATTTCAACAGTAATAATGAAAGCACATAACGATTTTAAGTGTCCAGGAGTTCTGACTGATTTCTGGTGTGAGGGAAAATAATGAATAATGTGTAGTTTGCTGTGTGCTCTGCCTGCTTGATGGGAACTTGGAGGCAGCAGGTACATGAACATGCAGAAAGATCAGGAGGTGGGGGGCTGTGAAGTATTCAAGTGTCCCAGTAAACCATCATTCATTTTATTATATTCTCACATCAGAATGTATTTGGTGAAAAAGTCTATTGATACAAGCTCAGCAGCTGTTTTTCAGCAGCTAAGGGGTTCATCTGCTCATTGGAAGAAACTTCCTAATAAATAAAGGGAAATAAAGTGCAGACAGTAGACACGCAAACTAACAACATAACAACAAGAAAGAAGAAAAAATAGACAATATTTAAATGTTTGCAACTCTGATGTTGTGTCTGATTATCATTCCAGGAGGAACTTCTCTCTTCTCCATCATGTTCATTGAATAAGTGAAATAAAAACACAGTTAGCTGACAGTAGTCTGTCTGTGGTGCTGCACTGACTGGTGTGATTGATGGTCATTGCTCCTCTCCTCCAGGTGGAGGCGCTGTAGGACAAAGAAACAGAGAAGTGGTTTGTGAGGGTTTTGATGGGAAGAATAAAATGAAGAAGCAGTGATGAAGCTGCTGTAACGTGCAGACATTGTTTTGAGCGTGTGTGTGTATAGAAGAGTATAAAAAGACTGTGTCCCGCTGTATTACCCAGGCTGCACTGCAGCGTCTGTTCACAGGCGCGATCCCACTACTGAGCGGCACGGGGGCTTTGACCTGCTCCGTCTCCGACCTGGGCCGGTTGACCCCTCCTTAGACGACCTGGTGGTCCCGGGCTCCCCCAGGAGCACCATATCGATACGGAACTTAGTGCGGACACCCGATCAACACAGTCCGCTGCAGCTCAGAGCTCCTGAGCTCAAACGATCCTCCAGCCTCAGCCTCCCGGTAACTTGGATTACAGGCGCGCGCCACCGCACCCGGCGGGAGGTCCCTTCATCCATAGAGGTTTTGGGGTTTTCCAGAGGTGACGTCATCAGGGAGCACGCTTCACCGGCATCACCAGACGAAAAAACAGCAGCTGCAGGGTTGAATGTTGATCAGCATTTATTCAGTTTTCCTAAAACTCTCTGACTGATAAAACCTCACTGCAGTAAAGATCAATAAGCCTACACATAGAGCTGTGAGCTCAGTAGAGTTTATTATCTTCCTGCTTTTCTGTTGTCTTGTAGTCATAGCTATACACATTCGATAGCCTATTTGTTTTATAATGTCAGCATGTTACATGATACAGTAACTTACACGCACACTCTTTGATTCCAATGTTAATCACAGAGTAACTCTACTAGCAACATTTAAAACACAGGAGTGGAATTTACTGTCACTGCCAAAAGAAATAACATCTCTTTAATACAGAGACTGGACCATGCTGAAGAACAACTCAATCTAAGTTATTATTATTATTATTATTAGAGCTTTAGTTACATCTGTAATGCTTGCAAACACAGGAGGAGCTTTGCACATTATGTACTTTGACAAATTACAAGATGAACTCACTAAACATTGTCTTCTGTAATCCATTTGAAAAAGAAAAAGGTTCCAAACTGTCCTCTTTCTGATAGGCTATCTTGTTTTCCCTACTTTTATTTGGGCAATACAATGTTTCATTATTGAGCATGTTCAGGTTTGGGTGGTGGATTGCACCACATTGGATCGTCACTACAGCTTTATCTATACTGGAAACAGTCTCATCTACAGAGTTTATGTTGAGCATGCAGAATAAGGAGGAGGAATAAGCATTGCTAATGCACAGCATTTGTAGAAGGAATTGTCAGTATGGGCCTTTACTAGCTATGGGCCTTTACTAGCTCTTGGTTGACCTGAAAGTCTGTGATGTCCATAAGCGCACTCAGAGTAAATTGTAGAAATATTAATTTTCGTGTGTCATGTATCAGACCTGCAATTACCAGTGGAGGATCATGTTAGTGTTATCAAGATAAAGGGTTTTCTTACTACTTCATATGAAGCTGAAGTAGTTTAATCTATAACAATGCATTACAGCCTATTTTACAACATAATGACTGGATTTAGCTGCATGCTACATGTTAAATCTAGATCTAACAAAAATCTATATAGCCTATAGCCTAGTTGTAAAATCAGTGCAGCAGAGTAAAAAGAAAGTATATAGTATTTTACTCTTTAGTGAGATGGAATGGAAGTATAAAGTAACAGGAGAAGTAGTCCATCGAGAGTGATCTGAAGAACAGTACCTGTACCGGTAGAATAAATAGAGCTTATTTAGTTACATGCTAACACTGCTCTCCTCATGGAGCTCCAGAGAAACTTAACCAGAATCCTTTATTTTGAAAACAGCAGACAGGAAGTAGCTGTTGGCAGGTTAGGGCTGTGTTATCGCGCTATCCAGCTAGGTCATTAGCTGGTTAGCTCTCTTCTCTTTTAACCCGAATCCAACAGTTACATGTGAGGAGGGGGCCAGGCGAGACTGTTTGCACAACTCGGTAGGGTTTTTCTTAAGAAAGTGTTATCTCGTGTGTTCTACTGTCGTCAATAGTTGGAATTGTTTCCGGTAACATTGGAGCCAGCGACAATAACGATGGCTAATTATGCTAGGCTTGCAAAGCAATGAAGGCAACCGTAGGCGATTTTAATTCCTTCGAAGGATTAATATCGTATTTGGGAGTGGAACAAAGTTAACGATATGTTAAAGAGTCATGTGCGGTGTCTTTTTGTAGTATAGTTGACATTCTTGAACAGCAAACGACAGGGAGATTAGCCAGATGAAAAGCTTTAGCTTGCTACTCTTTGTTGCTAGGCAACAGAACTCTCCACTGGGTGTCAGAGGTAAAGCCTGTAATTACATTAGTGTGGCAAAAACACGCAGTGCCACTTGGTCACATGCGTTATGCATGGCAGCCTGCTTTTCTCATGTGCTTAATTTCCTAAATAACTACCCGGAAAAACTGAAATACTAAAGTACCTCCTGCTGTCTGTCTGCTTGTCTCCTTTGGGCTCTTGTCTGAATAGGCATACACAGTTGTCACCATGCTGGTCCCTATATTTACACTGAAGCTGAACCACAAGATCAACCCTCGGATGGTGACTGTTGGGAAATTTGATGGAGTCCACCCATGCCTTACTGCAGCCACACAGGCCGGGAAGGTGAGGGAAATTGATGTTTTCACTGTTCCATCATAACTTTGGTGAATTCATAATGAGCAAAACGTAGTTAGCATAGCGTAGTTACTCTCTACCTTCCTTTATTCCTTCAGGTATGTATATACAAATCCCATTTCGTGGCTTTGTTGTAACATTGTGGAAAGACAGTAGCTATATTCTTGATTTATATAGACACATTCTTTCTGTACTTCCCCACATCTCTTCTAGTCCTGCACTCATCACTGCATTCATTCACTTTTGATTATAGAATGCCTTTTGCACTTTTGATACTTACTATACATCATCCTTTAGTTTTCACCTCATGCCCTTGATTCTCTCTATTTCTCTCCCAAAGGTTTTTATCCATAATCCTCATGCTCGTGGTCAGAGACCCGTGGCCCACCGACTGAGCCAGAGCACACAAGACTCTGACATCTCACTCCTTAACATCAATCAGGCAGTCACTTGTCTTACGGCAGGAACACTGGGACCAAACACCACAGGGGACACGCTGTTGGTGGGATCCCAGACCAACCTGCTGGCCTATGATGTCCATGACAATGCTGATATATTCTACAGAGAGGTGAGTGGAACTGAGTAGAATAAGTAAAAAGATACAAAATACAAAAAAATGTGCGTTGTAGCATTGAGGGTATTGCTTAACACAAGTGTTTAAGTAAAATGTCTCCTTAATCATTTAGCAACCTGGTACCACATTACACCACTACATCACACAATCAAGCACTCAACTAGTTATATTCTTAAAAGTATTTGTTTTTTTTAACATTGTTCTGGTGTCAAAATTTCAGACGTGATTCAGACGTTTTTCTCTGAAAAGTTTATAAAGTTGGTAGAGAGTAGAAACCAGTAAGTGTGTTACATTTCTTGAGTCACAGTATGCTGGAAGCAACTGGTGAAGGGTCATGCTGTATTGACCTGTTTGACCTCCTGATGGCACTTTTATCTCAGTGTTACAATGAATAAATACAGACACAGTGATGGAAAATTTGTTAATATTATCTGTCTGTCACAGTAACATGAAGAAGCATCACCTGGGTGTCAGCTCCAGTGCAGAGCAGCATTTTCTTTTATTTTGGAGGGTTTTCATGACAGATGCTCTGAAGATGAAGATGCACCTGAGGCTAATGATGATGAGAAGTTTATGTTTGTGCCATTTATGAATCAGATCACTTAAAAGCAGAACTAGAGCATGAAAATGATGAGGCTAGCAAGAAAGTAGAGCTCCCAAGAGAAGTTAGAACTGATGAAGGAAGCTTTATCTCAACTGCCTCAGCACTGCTATGCAAGTAGTTTTCCTGGCCAGCTTTTCAACTTGGGAAGCCAGAAGATCTCTTCACTTTCCTGGAAAACCATGGCCCTTAGCTGTTCAGGCCATGGCTAGAAAAAAGGAAAGAAGAGTCAGTACTTTAGGAGCTGATGATCTAACAGACATTGGTTCGTCCAGAAACAGAGCCGTTCAGCCGAGGAACTCTCTCTCTTCTGTCCATTTGCACTCAACTGGAAACATTTGAGTGGCGCATGCAGTATACACAGCCATGTTGCAGTGAGATGCAGAAGCAGACGACTATGATTTAAGATTACTGTGCTGATTAATCTGGCTTTAGTAGGTGTCTGTAGATGAAAAGCCACAGTAGGCTATGTGTTAGATAGAACATAAAATATAACATGTTATACCAAAATATATTGAGTTTTGAATGAAACAGTTTTTGACATCTAAAAAATTATTGTAAGACAGTGCCATAAATGGCGAAAATATATATTTTTTTGTTTGTTTGCTATTGTTTATAATTTGTTACAAAAAGTTTACAAGCAACATGATTTTTAATCTGTGCTGTTAAAGACCAGAGCTATGTAGGAATGTTTGAAGAAACACCCATGCATTTAAGGGTTAATCTGTATGTGGCTTTTTGGTGTGCTGTGTCTGTGTAGAAATGATTACTCAAAAAGGAAATGTAAGAATGGTTCAAGCAGCAGCGTTTACACACAAAAGAGAAGTCCAGCTGTCGACATAAGTGTTTTATCTTAAGGGACCCTGTTTGTGTTTGTGTTTATTTTGTGTGTGTGTGTGTGTGTGTGTGTGTGTGTGTGTGTGTGTGTGCAGGTGACAGATGGAGCCAATGCTATTGTGTTGGGGAAACTCGGCGACATTCCCAGTCCTCTTGCCATCATTGGAGGGAACTGCGCCTTACAAGGCTTTGACTATGAGGGCAATGACCACTTCTGGACAGTAAGAACAGCCAGACAACATTTTTAATCACAACACAATACAGTCTGTCTTACATTCAGAACATTGCTTTCATTGAATAGCAAAATAACGTTCAACTCATGACTCAGTGAGACTTCATCAATATGGAAGCGAATCGTGACTAATATTTAAATTAAAATGTATTTGCAGAAATGCTTTTTCATTTTAAGAATGTGGCTGCATTATTTGACTCATATATAAAATTAATCATCAATCATCCTATTTGCATTTTAATTTTCTTCTTCAAGACTGCTCATTCTTTTACTTAATTAAAATGAAAAAGAAAAAGTCATTTGAGATTTAATTTTCAAAATATGCCCCAGCAAATAGATACCAAATTCAATTTGAAATGTAAAATTTGAAAATTAAAATGCATTTACAGAAATGCTTTTTCATTTTAAGGATGTGGCTGCATTATTTGACTCATGAATAAAATGAATAATCAATCAACCTATTTGCATTTGCATTTTCTTTTTCAAGACTGCACATTTTATGCCATAATCAACAAGAAAACAAAGAAGACATTGCTATTTCATTTTCGTGGTCTGTCCTGCAAAATAATGCCCATAATTTGAAAATGATTTGGCAATCTGAGCGGCGCAGGAGAGTGACATCAGTAGCCGCTCTTCTTCAGCTGACCGTGCTACCCATCTAATACGGTAGGGGGCGGTGTGCACATTTGATATATGGATGCATCATAGATCATGGGGCTCCCTGAGATTGTGCTTTCTAAACATCGTAATTTCCCAAAACTGAATAAATACCACACACAGCAACACAAAACTGCTTTGCTAGCTCAATCATGTTGTAACTAAGATATCTGCTGGAAAAAATATTTTTTTCATGGACTGTTCATTGAGGATACGGAGTTAATACGTCCGCTGACTTGACAGTCATTTAAACTGGTAGCAGGTGCCGTGTCTCTCAGTGTTAGTAGGCACTAGGGTTGCTACGGGTTACCTGCACAGCTGTGGGCGTAGGTGGTGATCAGTGATATGTAGGTTAGATAGGGGAGTCACAGTTGATCAGTGTTATGGAATGAGAATCAGGGGAGGCCACACAGTTTTTCAGCTGTGTCTGTGTGTGTGTCGAGTGAATGGGTTTTCGTTATAATCGTAGTATTTTTGTCCTTTTGCACGAGCACGTTTTAAGTCTTTTTTACACTTGGCTTTTTGTAGGTGTTTTTAACGTTTTTGTAAGTCAATAAAGTGTTCAAAGCGTACCATGGAGGACCTCGTGTTTGCACACCAACATGAGTTAAAAATGGCTTTGGATTGCCGATACACTCAGCTTGAGCTTATACTTTGTAGACATTGTGATTTCCCAAAACTAAATAATAGTCCAGCAACTTTTCCGGAGGAAACCCTGTGACATTGACACGTTAAATAATTTTCATACATACTGCCTTGGTTTGATTCTAACCCATACAATATGGTTGTCAAATGTTGAATCTGCTCATGAAATTAATAAATTATGCACAGCTAAGATTAACTGATATGATATTGAGTACCTATTGACATCAGTGTGTAATAAGCTTGGAGGCCATAGCTAACAAGCTGCAGTCAACAAAGACCCTTGTAAACTTGTATACATTTCATAGATATATTTACACTACTATTAATTCAGCTTTCAGCATGGTCTTGATCATGATAGAAATTAAATTGCATCATGCCATCTTGCTGTTCTGCATTAAATTGTTAAGCAAAAAAATATCCATTGATCAAAGGAATTGGACTGTATGTTTATCTATATTATCTATATATATATTTAATATCAATAAATCATTGCATACATAAGTAATCATCTTAAATATTTAGGCTAATATAATTTAGATCTGCTCTGTAAAAGTGTGTGTATAGTGCACTGAATGAGTGTTTGGTGCGAAGATGTTATTACCGCTTGTCATAAGAAAACACAATGCGCTCACTTGTAAGGTCCTCTTCACACCAAACACTCATTCAGTGTGCTATACACACACTTTTACAGGGCAGATCTAAATTATATTAGGCAGCTTTGTATGTATGAAAATTATTTAACGTGTCAATATCACAGGGTTTCCCCCGGAAAAGTTGCTGGACTGTGTGGTATTTATTCAGTTTTGGGAAATCACGATGTCTACAAAGTATAAGCTATAAGTACAAGTATAAGCTGCTACCAGTTTAAATGACTGTCAAGTCAGCAGACGTATTAACTCCGTATCCTCAATGAACAGTCCATGAAAAAATTATTTTTTCCAGCAGATATCTTAGTTACAACATGATTGAGCTAGCAAAGCAGTTTTGTGTTGCTATGTGTGGTATTTATTCAGTTTTGGGAAATTACGATGTTTAGAAAGCACAATCTCAGGGAGCGCCATGATCTGTGATGCATCCATATATCAAATGTGCACACCGCCCCCTACTGTATTAGATGGGTAGCACCATGGTCAGCTGAAGAAGAGCGGCTCCTGACGTCACTCTCCTGCGCCGCTCAGATTGCCAAATCATTTTCGAATTATGGTCACTATTTTGCAGGGCAGACCACGAAAATGAAATAGCAATGTCTTCTTTGTTTTCTTTTTGATTATGGCATAAAATGTGCAGTCTTGAAGAAGAAAATGCAAATGCAATAGGGTGATTGATGATTAATTTTATTTATGAGTGAAATAATGCAGCCACATTCTTAAAATGAAAAAGCATTTCTGTAAATGCATTTTAATTTTCAAATTTTACATTTCAAATTGAATTTGGTATCTATTTGCTGGGGCATATTTTGAAAATTAAATCTCAAATGACTTTTTCTTTTTCATTTTAATTAAGTAAAAGAATGAGCAGTCTTGAAGAAGAAAATTAAAATGCAAATAGGATGATTGATGATTAATTTTATATATGAGTCAAATAATGCAGCCACATTCTTAAAATGAAAAAGCATTTCTGCAAATACATTTTAATTTAAATATTAGTCACGATTTGCTTCCATACATCAAAGTGTAACTAGTTTATTTTCATTTGTTATATTTCTGCATATCGAACCTTTTTCTAGCCATTTGTTGGATGAGATCTTTTGCCCCATTTATCTGATTTGGCCTGTTTATTTGACACAAGTAGACAAAGTGAACGCCATTTTTTGTCATTCTGGTTATTTTCAGTCCCTGTCAAGATTTCTTGAATGGCTGAGTCAACTAAATGAATGTATTCATGAAGTTCTTCTTTTAAGGTAACTGGTGATAATGTCAGATCTCTGGTGCTGTGTGACTTCACTGGGGATGGGAAAAATGAGGTAAGTTCTGACTGGCTGGCAGTCTGAGACACATGCTGTGTAGTCACACCGTCTGCTGTTTCAGCACAGAGTATTGTTGCTCGTCTTCTTCATATCGCTCTCCTGATTTATATATCTCTCTTCTTTTACATTTGTGTCAAGGCTTGGCCGATATGATGAGATTATTGATAGTTTGTCAGCCAAGATAATAGTCCTACGCTATGTTTCCTATGTTTCTTTACCTTTTTCTCTTGCTTTCTCTACGCTTCACGACGTTGTAGCGTATCGAAACAAAAGTAACATTTTAACATATATCGGATGGTGTACATAATTACCCATGTAGCTCTGACTCCAGCAGGAAAGATGTCTGCCCTTGTTAGCAAAGAGAATGCAACTACGCCCTTTTGGGGATTCTTTGCTTTTAAACCCAACTAAAAAGGAGCACCAAAGAACTAACCAAAGTGATTTGCGAGCTGTGATAAACAGGTTAGGACTTAAGATGGAAAAACCACAAATATCCAGTATCTTCTTAACCTCACCATCCAACTGAATAGTACTAGGGTAGTATTGGCCAGCCCTAGTTGTGTCTAAACTTAACTAACTACATGAGTTTAATGAAAGATAAATTCATATTGATATGATTATTTGTTGATTTTAAAAATATCGTCAGCTATTGTGTATTGTGTTTACAGCTCCTGGTAGGATCAGAGGACTTTGACATCAGGGTATTCAAAGAGGATGAGCTTGTGTCTGAGATGACTGAAAATGAGGTAAATGGATGCACTGTATTTCGCTCTATTTAAACTTGTTGACTTCAGAGAAAATTCACCAATACTGACAACAGTGTGTTTTTTAAAAACAATAAATCATGTTTTGTACAGTTGACAGTCGCACAGTAATACTTAAAATCATCATTGCATTGTTGCTAGTCATATCTTGTATAATCTGTCTTTTGCTATACTGGAGCAAAGTAGTAGAAATGTTTTCCCTCTGCTCTTCTCCATACAGACAGTGACATCACTGTGCCACATGTATGGAAGTAGGTTTGGCTATGCTCTGGCCAATGGCACCGTGGGAGTTTATGACCGCACCGCGCGCTACTGGAGGATTAAGGTACCGTAGTTATTCACGATAATGGCGTCTTGGACAAGAGGGGCTAACCTTATAAAACAGAAATAATAGACATTAGTAATTACATTTAAAGTCTTCAACACTTGGTGGGTGTAGGCGTAATATTTATTTGCATCAGCCATTCCCTCTGAAAGCCTTAATCGGTTTGTTCTATGTTTGCTCCCCTCCCTTCTCTGTTATGAAACAAACTGTCTGAAAACTTGTACTTAATCATTTGGGTCTGCATCAGCAGGATATTTTGATTGATTGACTCCATACTATTTAAGTGCCTTTTTACTAACACCCATGCCTTAAATGTAATTTGTCTCCCCAATCAGTCTAAGAATCATGCAATGAGCATCCATGCCTTTGACCTGAATGCTGATGGGGTGGTGGAGCTGATCACTGGCTGGTCCAATGGAAAGGTATTTAGGCCTTTAGAAACAACCTCTCACACTGACGAAATGGGATTTGTAATTAGATTTTGGAAACAGCACGTCTGCATCACTAGCTGGTGTTTGATCACATTCCCCTTTTATTTCAGATTGACGCTCGTAGCGACCGCACAGGTGAGGTCATTTTTAAAGACAACTTCTCCTCCTCTGTGGCCGGAGTGGTGGAGGGAGACTACAGATTGGATGGACAGAAACAACTTATCTGCACCTCTATAGAGGGAGAGGGTATGTTGTTTGGTTGTGTCTGCCTGTGTGGTTTATTCATAAATTTGAGATAACGTGTTGAAACTGGTTGAATTTGGGCCATGTTGTGTGTTCCAGGGTAAATGCTTTTACAAATTTCTGTGACTGTTTTTTTTTTTTTTTTTTGTCAGCCCAAAGATTTATAGCAACACTAAAGCATTTTAGAACGTTGCAGAATAAAGTTACAGCGGATATGGAAGAACTGACCATATAAGCTTGGAAGAGAATGTCATCAGTGTTGTAAATGTGTGTATCTTGTAGTTCGTGGTTACCTGCCTGCCAGTAAAGACCTCAAGGGGAATCTCATGGACTCCAGTGCTGAGCAGGACCTCATCAGAGAGCTCAGCCAACGCAGACAGAATCTGTTGCTGGAGCTACGCAATTATGAAGAGAATGCCAAGGTACAGATGTTCATAACATCATTTATTTATTCGTCATGTCAGATTTTATTTGTTTTAACATTTTAACATTAAACAAAAGTACATGTAGTACAATCGGTTACTTATAAATGTCATATGTGATATATGGAAAGATGGATTAAAAGAATTATTTCTTGCATATGGCGAATTGCCCATTTTACTTGTTTGGTTCTTGACAAAAAAGTAAACTATTAAAACAGTAAACTATTAATTTTGCTGACTTTGAAGGCCTCCTGACGCTTTTCTTGAGTGCTAACCTCGCATCAGATTCTCAACCCTGAATGCAAGATGTCTCAAAACACACTGCAATCATATTTGCTGAGCAAGATCTGCTTAGCAGAATCCCCCCTCATCATATTTTGGCCACACCCCTGTTTGTTTCACAGATAGCAGACTTCATATAGATAATCACAGGATCATTAGTTGGCATTGGGCTGTATATTATTCTATATGCTAACATCCAACAAACTCTTTTATTGTTTCAGGGTGTGTCAGAGACAAACAGTGGGGTGGGTGTCATCCCAGCCAACACTCAGCTCCAGACAGCGTTGTCAGTGAGAGCTGCTACAGAGGCTCAGAAGGCTCATGTAGAGCTCAGCATTTCAACACCAAATGGTAATATTTACTAATTAAGCTGGGAATATCAAGCATGTCAACGACTAGATAAATACTAATAAGTCCCTGTATCTCTCCTTTCTCCTTTCTAGAAACCATCATCCGTGCGGTGCTCATCTTCGCAGAGGGGATATTTGAGGGGGAGAGCCATGTCGTCCACCCCAGCGCCCAGAACCTGTCAGGCTGTGTCCGAGTCCCCATTGTCCCACCCAAAGACATACCAGTAGATCTGCACATCAAAGCCTTTGTAGGAGGAAAAACTAGGTAGGATGTGTGAGACAGTAAAGTACATGTGCTATCATTAGTGTTTTTTGTTCTTGTGTAATTAGCGCCTCTTTTTTGTTAACCCCTCTTCTCTGCACGTCTTCCTTTTTATCCTCTCTAGCACCCAGTTCCACGTGTTTGAAATCACTCGTCAGCTGCCTCGTTTCTCCATGTATGACATCACTGTTGACTCCTCAGCTGCTCCGCCCACTGGAAGGGTCACATTCAGTATCAACGACCGACCACAGCGGGTAGGCTGAGTGTCTCTCTGGAAGATAGACACTTGATGCCAAACAGCATAATAGCATGTTCAAGGCAATAACATGTTGATAAATATTTGCCAGTTAAAATCTCTATGAATGCAATAGGTAATGTATATGATTGTTCACATACGTGTGTGTGTGTGTGTGTGTGTGTGTGTGTGTGTGTGTGTGCGTGTGTGTGTGTGTGTGTGTGAAGGTGGTGATGTGGCTGAATCAGAACTTCTTGCTGCCTGAGGGAGTAGACAGTCCTGACATCACTTTTAATTCGCTGAGAGGAGGGGGACTGTTGTCCATCGGTATGGCCAGTAATGGACAGGTACAAACACACAAAAACAATTACGTGTGTTACGTGTATAGTGTTTAGCTAAAAGCTTAATTCACAATCATCGGTTGTTCAGTGTTACACTTTTGTACGCTTTTTCAGCCAGCTTTGACTTTGAATTAACAAGAGAACTGAATTACAAGTGCCTGGATTTCATAGCTCAAAACACAAACATTTATTAATGAAGTCACTGTGATAAGCCAATACCAATAAAATCAATGAGACTAGTTGTTTATTTAGCAATAATTATAATAATCTATTTGAAGAATTGATCTTCACACTGTCATCCATCACCATAATCAGTTTAACTCTCACATTTTAGCCCATTTTGGACAAAAATGTGATGATTCAGGAGTAATGAATTTAATAAATCATACCCCACACAACACTTAACTTGTTTAGTTGCAAGTAGTTTTAAGTAAAATAGACATAGTACTGTATATGTGCAAAGTAAATTTAGTTACATTTAATGAATTATGCATAGTTTGTTTTTTGTGCTCATAAAGGGAAATGTGACCGTGAAAATAATCTAAACTTTACTTAACCAACAGTAAACAAAACTGATCTTAGCTTGCACAAAGCTATTGTACAATCTATTGTCTCCTGGCCTTTTCCTCTTAATTCAGCTAAAGCCATACTCCAATTTGCCCAATCAGATCACTTTTAGAACCGATGACATCGACCTGGCAGGAGATCTGGTCCAATCACTGGCCTCCTTCCTGGCAATAGAGGACTTGTCAGCAGAAGCAGATTTCCCCGGCTACTTTGAGGAGCTACGCACTACACTCACTGAGGTTTGGCTTTAATGAGATTGAAACCGCTGCTGTCATAAACAATTTATGCTGTGTATTCCACTAATACTGCAAGACACATTACCTTCTGTTACATGCATGTCAACCTGTACATTTACTACATTTTAACTACAATTTTGACTTCAACAGTGCCCTGTGTGAAAAGCTTGTCAAGACTGACAGAAGCAGTATGAGAAATTAATTCATTATTTGTCAGGAGAGGGAATGCACTTATTGTTGTTGGTGCTGTGGTTTAATATTGAGTCTTAAATATCTGTATGCTAGGTGGATGAGTTCCACTCTGTCCATCAGAAGTTAACTGCAGCCATGGCCGACCACTCCAACTACATCAGAAACATGCTGGTGCAAGCAGAGGATGCTCGCCTTATGGGTGACTTGTGAGTAGCCACAATATGATTACAGTATGTTAAACTGGTCTCATTTATAATCCATGTTAAAAAGAAATAATAATAAAATAATATTATGTGAAATAGAGGCCAAACATGGACAGTACTTTTACACGGCCTCTTCAAGGCAGGAGTTCTGTGTATAAAGTGTTGATGGAAGAACAGAGTTATCCTTTAAGGTGGCATCGGAGGCAGAAACAACGCCAAAACAATGTCTGTATAAACGGAACAGCCAACAGGATGGGCGGCACAAGTGTGATGTTTTGACGATGTGCTATGCCTGTGACCTACCGCAGGAGATTTAAAAAGCACCTGATAACAGTTAGCAGCTAACTCAAAGAAAAAGAACAGTGGCTGAAAATATCCACAAACTGGGAAACAATTAGGTGCGAGAGCTACCCTCCGAGCAGAGGACGAGATCATTGGCCATATAACAAGGATGGTAAATGACTGTTATTGACATGCTAGGCTTTTATAATTGTTTAGAAAGTATTGCAGATGCATATGCTGTATGTCACACTAGAGTCCAAGGATGTTGTGTTACCTGTCAAGCCCATCACGCCTCATTGCTTTCATGATGCCGACATGATGTCTAAAATCAAACGCTGGAGAGGCATGATGCTGCTGTTTTTTGGTTTTGTATAAAAAATGCAAAGATAGCATAAAGAAGGGACTTTGTAGCGGCCTTATAGCATGATCTGTGTCTGAAAAGGGCTACTGCTAATAATTTTTTGGCTGCATGTCATTTAGGTCAGCCACTTTTGGAGTTGATTTATTGTGCATTTTGTTTTAAGTCCACAGAAAAAAAACATCAGCCATCATTAATATAATTGGTCCTACTTGGGTTTTTTCAACCATGAAAATTCAACATGTTTGCTTGGCTTAAGGTCTGCTGTTTTGCAAAATTCTGACCAATGACTTCTGAAACAAAAGAGTGATTGTATCAAAAACATGAAGGACAAACACACTCACTGATGTGTTGATACAACTGTATACAAGGTCAGAAATTAACACCTGCCAAAGGCAGGTATTTTTTCCATCTGGCAAATAAATCTTGGAAGGCTATCCCCCACAATGGTGGGTAAATTTTTGTCCCAAAATAGTCTTGTAATAAAAACTATTCTGAGAGGCTTTACCGCATTTTGGTGTCATGTAGAGGAGTGCTGTGCTGTCTGTGCTGGAGTTTGACACGCACACACTACCAGATGTTTTTAAATTCATCTAAACAGTGCAGTGAAAGTGATTGACTCGAGTGCTCCTAGTTTCACTGTTGACTGTATGTGACATCAGCTACTCAACTAAATTTCCCGATCACCTGCTGATCACTTGCCTTCAGTCTGCTGCTAGCTGCTGTACTCTGTCAGGAGCAGGAGGTCAGACTTCATGGACTGTGCAAAGAAGAGGGCGATTATGGTGGAGAGTGAGAAAATCTGAGGAAGTTGATTAAAACGATTAAGCATTAGATAGGTTTACAGAACCTTCAAATTTACCTTTATGTTTAATCCTTAAATGCATTTAATAGCACATACTTTAGTAGAATCTTGAGATTTTTTTTCCTCCGGTCTCCTCTTTAAGTTTGCATTTAACATTATACCTTATTATCTCAATGAAATGTACTGAAACAAATGTATACGTGACACAAAAAGGTGATTTATTATTATGTCCAGTAAAAAATATGCCTGGCTGGTGGAATTTTTCATCTACCAGTTCCCTCGACCGGATGGTCAAAAAATAATGTCAAACACTGACTTTGTAGATATTTTTTTAAGCTTTAGTTGGTGGTACTGTTGAATTGAGTTATAATCAAAGATGTTTCTAAAATTTAGTGTACTCTTGCTGATATTAATGGGAGGGGAAAAATATTAGCAATGCCTCTCAGTGTATAAAGTACAATGCTATACATTTCAGCTGAACCACAAGCCTCCAAAATGTCCACCAAATCAAATCAAAGACACATCTAAAACTGTTTCAGTGGAAAATCAGTGTATATTTAAGCATATGTTTATAATATTGAAAAGATGAAAAGAGGACCAAACCAACTCACCTTTTATCTCTCTCTTTTCCCCATACTTTCTCTCTAACTCTCTCTCTCTCTCTCTTGCCCTCTGTAGGACAACAATGAAGAAGCGGTACAGAGAGCTGTACGATCTAAACAGGGATCTGATCAACGAGTATAAAATCCGCTCTAACAACCACAATGCACTACTGGGCCGCCTCAAGTCTGTCAACCAGGCCATACAGCGGGCTGGTAGACTCCGAGGTATGCTACTGTGTGTGGGTGTGTATGAGTGCATGTGTAAACACACTAAAACAACTAAAAATTCTTAACAGCAGTACTGTATGTGGGCTGACAGGCATGAAGTCAAGCCCTTGTGTAGAAGACAGAGGATGCTCATGTCAGGGACTGTCTAAGATAATCAATGTTATTATATCTGGGGAGGGTTTTGAATGTAATGCATGTGTGCTCTAGATTCAGTTGTATGTTCTCTCTAGTATTTGTATGATTGTACATTATATCCCATAGAGCATTATCAGCGTCCTCCAGAGCTTTTGCACACATTGTGAATATACAAAGCTTTGATGATGTGGATGAGGGGCTACTAATGCTTTGCAGAGCACTTGAGTTTGGCTCTCTCTAGCTACTTGACTGGAATGCCTCTGTTTTACTGTCTCCTATAGCTTTTTTTGGAAGCATACAACATACAGCGTATTGGGGAAAAACATTCATGACCACATGTTATCATTTTGTACGCTGTCTTCAGATGTGGCTCTGAACTGAAGCTGGCATAACTTATAGTTTTGCCTCAAAGCATCAGTTGGTAATGGTAACATCAAAGCTGTAGCTGGTAACTTTATAAAAATAAGTTTTTGTCGTATTTGATGGAACTCACTGTAACCTGAGTGCACAATATGAGAGAGATAGTCTGTGAAAAAAATCATAATCCTCTACTTCCTCATAGTGCTTCTAATGACATTTGTTAGAATCCAATGCAGCTAAAGGAAAACAACCAATGAGAGCTGAGGAGTCTGTAATGCAGCTGTCAGTCATGTCAATCACTGCTTTTAGCTGCAGTCAAACTGTTGAACTAGGCAGAGCTGATCAAATATAAATTAAGATTCTGCTACTTCATTCCTTAATCCTCACCTCAAATGTTTTTAGAAACATATTTAAATGAAGGAAAGATGTTAAAGATGGCACTGAGAGCACTCAGGCGAATGTTCGTAGTATATGGGTACATTTTCTGTTCCATAACTGAGAACACTTTAATAGAATAACGCTCATTTAGGTATTAAATGCAGAATACAAACATTCTGTGGGTTCACAAAATCAGGTTCTCCTTCATCGTCTATGGAGCAGCCCCAGACTTTATACCCTATGACATCATCACAGTTTGAGACTTACTTCTCTGATTTCTGGCTTTGAGAGAGAGTAGCTCATGTTTGTAAATATTTATTGAACTTTCCTCAACCATGGAAATGACATATTGGAATTTTTTTAGGCATTGTTCCCCCTTTAGTACTGATTTCACTATCAAATGGCACAAATACATGTAGAGCGTAGGAGCTTTAAAGCATTTGGGTTATTGTCTGCTCATATTAATCTGTCACTGTTCCTCCTTCTCTTCAGTGGGTAAGCCCAAGAACCAAGTGATCTCTGCCTGTCGAGATGCCATTAAAAGCAACAACGTCAACGCACTGTTCAGGATCATGAGAGCTGGCACTGCATCCTCCTGAGGCTGGAAGGAGGGGGAAGGCAGGAATGGACAAAGAGATTGGAAGTACAAGCACAAATGATCAGTACTGTAAAGTTGAACTTTATCTAATGCCAGCAAGGAAGGTTCCCCAGAATGATGGGACGAGAACTACACACGGACAGGAAAAGGGACCCTGTTGTAGCCTTAATCTTTTTCAATGATTTAGGAATAAGCAGCAGCCTGGCAGCACCATTTGACACCAGCTCCATCATACTTTCACTGTACGTAAAGCCTGAAATTCTGCTAGCTCACAAAAATAAAATGCTGACCACAGGCTCAGTAAAAATGTTATCCATCTCAGTTAAGCTCTGTGGCTGTTTGGAAGAGCTTGATTTAGTGCATTGACAGCTTAGCTAGATAATTGTCAGAATCAGTGTAGCAGTTGGCAGGCAGCAGTGAAACAAGTGTTTAGAGAGTTCAGCTGGACATAAAGTGGGAGTGGAACGCTTCCCCCAAACGATTTCTCACAAGCAGTGGAACAAAGGTAGTCTGAGAACAATGATGCTTCAGAGAAATTAATTTTAATTCATTAATCTGAACGGTTGAACATATCACTGCTGTCTGAAACTCATCCAAAACAGAAATGGGTCAGATATATGCTCGCTTATTCTCGCTGATAGCATCAGTAGTGAAGAGTTAAGAAAGAAACGTTAAGCCGAAAGTACTAGAGGTGTTTGCCTAAGAAATGTTTAAACTTCAGAAAAGAAACTGTTTCCACGAAGACACTAAAATGACTCTGTGCTGGATCGGCGCCCCGCCTATGTAATTCAGCTGACACTGATGTTTAGAGAGAGTACAGCTGGAGCAAGACTGAGAGCAGCTTCCTCTCAGATGGAGAGTCGTGCCATTTAAATCACTGTTGGCCCTGATAGCTGTGTGTGACGGCTCACTCAGAATCACGTCTCTGCTCCCAGCTGCTGTATGTGTTGTGTGTGTGCTGTTTGTAGCCAAAGAAAACTATTTTAAATCAATGGATGTCACAGGACCAACGCTGTGTGCTTAAACTTGTTTACCTTTTGTAGGTTATACACTAAGATTGTAAATGTAATTTTGTGTTTGTGGCAGAAAATATTATGAAATTAAATTATGTTTTAAAAGTTTGTATGCACAATGTACATGTTTTTTTAAAAAAAACTTTGGGATCTCTACTATAATTTGAAGTTAGGTTTTGCAGGTTTAAACAAACTTTGACTGCACAGCATAAGCTTGAAATAACAGACCAACTAATGGGCAGATGCTTGCGTAACAACAGGGAATAATGTGAGAGAACTGAAAAAGTGACATCTAGTTTTTAGACATTTGTAGTGCAATAAGAATGCACATTTGGGATTAAAAAACCTTTGATGGCTTGAAATTAAAGACAGCGGTATATACTCCCTACCATTTTGCAAATATCTTTGAATTGTCTTAGAAAAGAATTCAATTTCAAAAAGAGATACTAGAGATAAAAAAAATAAATAAATACAAGCATTACAATAACATACAGGTATATTTGCATTACTTACATAAGCCACCATAACTTCTTTAGACTCTACTGTAAGGTGTTGAGATAGGTTAATTAAGATGTGTGTTTTTTTTTAAATCAAAAATAATTGTCTTCAGAGTGAAGCAGAAAAGCTTTTACATATAACTGCACGTCTGTACCTAACAGAACACTTGCCAAAGTTAGTTCAGTAGAACTGACTATAAAGAGGATAAACAGATCTGGTTTAGCTGCAGGCTACTAAACCCTGTAACCAGCTGGTTATGAGGAATTATATCCCACAGAAATGTTCCCTTCTTGTTCTTCTGTCAGTTTTTCCAACGTTCCTACTCTCTGCATAGTTTTGATTGGATGCACACATGTTCACTCACACAAGCCATATTCTATAGGCGCTACATATGGTTCAGTAAAGACGCAGTCTGCAGTCATAAATTCCTATTACTGCTGCTCGTGCTGTGTGTCTCTGCGTGAGTGTGCTTTGCTGTGTGCGCACTTAAACTTGTCCCAAAAAAAATAAAATAAATAAATAATCGCAGACTACCGAAACTCATTTGACTGAGGCTGAATATTTAAAGTATCAAAATATTCTGTTACGCTTAATTAGATATGCTGTCTGCTCACAGCACAATAAAACCAAGGACATCCAAAATAAAACATCGCTCTGTCGCTGGCCCTGATCTCTGACTGGAAGAAGAAACTAGAAAAAGATATGACTCATTACCATAACTTTAACTCCACACTTTCTACTTTTATCTATTGCTTTATTTATTAGTCCATTTTTTCCTTTACAATCCTCCCCAGTTGCTGTGTTGGCATCTGGCTTCAAGTCGCTCCGCTCCACTTTGAGTCACGTGGTCAGCCTAAAGGATAAAGATGCTGCGTTCAGGTGCTCCTTTTTAGCTCCTTCCCCTGACTACTGGCTCATACATTCTGATGTATTCGAGTAACTTACTTTGGATTTGACAGACTGATGTGGGAAAAAAGAATAACAATAGGTATTGTGATTAGTTTATAAGGCCAACAGGCTAATTGTTGAATGCACACCATTTTTATCATGTATATCAAAATTATGGTCTTTATTATGAATTGCATTTCCCACTATTCAAAGCTGTATTCATTACTCCCAAATAGAGACACACTCATAATTACAGTGTTGGTTGTGTGTAACAATTATTGTCACTTTTCTGATCTTTTTACAAAGACGTTTAACCTAAAACTGACAGCAAGCAGTGCTAGTTGATTCCGGAATAGCTGACCCTACATGAAGAAAAATCATTCATTTAATTATTATTTTCAATGTCTTTATAATTTCCTACACTTCATCGTTGACTGTGCATATTTGGATATTTCCCACAGCACTTGAATGCAACCTTACCATACCCTTCCAGGCGCAGCGCCAGGTAACTCGTTCTAACCTTCCTCACCGACACACTCACACCGAAACGCACACATACACACTCCTGACTACATCATCTGGACCGCTCTTCTCTCCTCTCATTGGATCGTAGTTGTTGGAAACTTTGAAGATCAGTCTGCTTCGTGTGTCGGTGCGCAGGATTGCAGCTTGTGTTGCAATTTTCGGACATCCACGGCACAGATGTTTTCAGTTTGACCTCCTCCTCCGTCACGTCTGGTAAGTTTGAATGACTTGCAGTAATCCGGGAACATTTCATAACTATTGTGGTTATAAAACCAGGCAGGCTTGTTGCTGTTGGTAGTGTGAAACATGCAGAATACGTTTGATCAGAACTGGTACTTTTTGTGTAAATTGCGCGAGAGGTTTGTGACGCTATTGGCCATGCATGTGTGGAATTTGTGGTCTCTGACAGAGACGAATAGCTGTGATTAAACAGTATAACAGTTATTTAGGGATGTCTGCAGATGAGATGTATGTTGGGACACAGTGTTCTTTGAAAGAGTTGGTACCCTCACTCACTTACATAAGACGCAGACACTCCCCCTTCTGAACTGAGAATCCATGGGAATCTAAAGACAGTTATAACATCTTGGACCATTTTGAATTCATTATATTTTTTGTCATTTAATGGATACTACTCTGAAGTCATGTTCAGCTGGTCAGACTTGCTATTCAACCACATTTTGACAAAGGTGCCAGGACATCTTGTAACCTCCAAATGACCAACCATGCTACTAAAAAGTAAGTAAGCATCTTGATTTAAAAAAGGAGGAAAAAGTAGGTGAATGGTTGTACCTATCGGAATCTAAAGTGGATATTTGCTTTTTGCCACAGGAACATATTTAAAGGAGAATCTGCTGAATTGATTTATGCCACAAAGCCAGATTAGCTCATAGTGTTGGATAAGACGAGAGAGGGTTTCACAATCAGAGCGCTGACTTCCAGAATAGTTTATCCTTCTTAGAAAAGCAAACAGATGGAGAAAGGGACACGTAACAATATGATCATTATGGATTCTTTGTTGTTGCTCTTTAGGATGTCCCCGCCCATTGGTGCCTGAGAAGAAGGGGAGGATGGAGGCAGACACGATGGATGTGCCTCCAGTGATATGAGTTTCTGCAGACAAACTGTAAAGTTTGAGGTGATATTTAGCGATGCGGCAGATAGGAGGAAGGAAAATCACAACATCTCTTCATCAAATTCTGCAGAGTAACCTGCAAATCCAGATCTGCTCCGTATCAGTCTCCACTACTGGCCCCTTTCCTGTACGTTCCAGTCCAATACTTACCTGACGTCAGTGTCTCCACAAGATGCTGAGAAAGATGGTGACACTGAGGAGGATCCTCCATGTGAAGGGAGATGTGATGTGTACAATGCTGCTGCTGGCGCTGTTCTGTCTGCTGCTCTATGCCCGCCAGGTGAGGATGGAACCTATCACAGCATATTAAAAAGCAGATCAAGATTTTTGTAAAATTTTTAACTAGACAATACAACCCTCTCCCTATCAAAACGTACCTAGTCTTTAAAGTCACGTGTCCACCACCCATGTTTCCAGGTGGTGATCTCCTCTGGGTGGGACAAGCCTATGTGGAAGCTGGAAGTCCATGGCTCTACCAGCTCTAGCAGGACCTTGCTGGGTGCCAGCAGGGCCAAAGTAGGCCAGGAGTCTTCAGGGGTATGACCCGATCTGATTCAAGTTATGAATGTGTGTATGATATCAGGAGTGCGATATGCAATGACGTTGTTGAATATAGAGATGATGATATGATGGGCGATAAATGAACAAATTTTGAAGTGAACAGTTTAAATGTTTTTCTGCTCTAGGTTTGCACTGCTAACACAGACCCCAGACAATGAATAGCCAATGCACACTGATTTAAGAAAAAAAAAGGGAAATGCATTGAATTTGATAGCTTTTCAATGTAGTGAGTCCCCCGGGACCCACAGGTGGTTATTTTATGGATTAGCCCTAGACTTTCTATGGGTAATTTAAATAAGTTACTCTATACATTTAATGGCTCAACATTTTGAGAAATATGCTTTATCTCTGTCATTCTTAGAAGACCTTTTTACTTAGTCAGACTATGAACAAAACAGGAAATAACAACAACATAACTGGTCTTGCGCAAGATGGCTGACAATATTTCTTCAACAGGGCACATTCTGTAAACTTTAAAACTTCATCAGATCCAGTAGCACAGTCACATCATCACAATTTAGCATTATCAAGGGAAAAAAAACGTGGCACATCCCCTGAATGGTAAAGCCCCATAGTCACTGACATGAGTGAATACAGCATCTGCTGTAGCAGCTGACGTTGCAACGTAAGACAACAGGAATGTCTGCAGCGACATCCTACAGATTAGTGAATTTGGGTGTATTTTATGAACCTTAAAATAAAAGGTTATTGTGTCCTGGCGGTCCACTCAGGACCTGAGTGCTGCCCTGCAACCTTTACCGGGAAACAGCAGCACACTGAGCTTCAAAGAGCCGGGGATGAGAACAGATAGACGTGCAGACAAGTGTCAGATCTGTGCAGAGCAACAGAACAATTACACCAACACATCATAGACAGTATGATGACAACATCCAAAACAAGCTTCACTCAGCAGAGAAACACTAGACTAAAACTAGATGGCCTAAAGTCACTCAATGCCACGGTTTCAACACGATTTGCATGGGACATGTAAATATACTATTTATTGCAGTTCAAGCAGTCTTTGTGATACTTATATTGTGCATGTTGATAACAGGATAAAGGTAAATTTTTATTTATATA